AGAGATGCACACAGACAGAGGCGCAGAGACACACAGAGAGACGCACACAGAGAGATGCACACAGACACACAGAGAGGCACAGACACACAGAGAGAGACGCTCCCACAGAGACACACACCCAGAGAAACAGAGACACGCACACAGACACACACACACACACACACACACACACAGAGAGAGACGCACACAGAGATACACACACACAAACAAACAGACACACACACACACGTGACCTGGTTCAGAGCCTCCATGGTGAAGTAGATGCTGCTGCAGGCCGAGGACAGAGACAGATACTGCTGAGACACCGTCTCCACTTCTTGCATGACGATGTCGGTTTCCTCCACTTTCCTGGTCACCTCCGCCGCCTCCTTCTTCAGGTTCTCCAGGGTGGTGATGATGGTGTCGTCATCCAGGATGCGACCCTTGACCTCATTCAGGGCCTGCAGCAGTGATTTTTCCAGCTGACGCAGACGCAGCTGGAACTCACCTGCACGGATTCAACAGAACCACGTTTACACACCAGCACTATTAATGATCCGACGGCACTTCCTGTGACACTCTCCGTCGCTCACCCTGCAGCTTCAGCAGGTCCGATCGCTTCTCGTCCACGTCCGGACGCTCGGCCTTCAGGACCTCGTTGAGACACTGGCTCTGCAGGCTGCTGCGGGTCACCGTGAAGTTCACGAAGGTCACACGAGAGCAAAGGTCAGGAGGGAACTCCACCTGCAAAGACACATCACAATTCAGCCGTTAATTTCAAATCTTTATTTTTCAACTTTAAAGGCAGATTTTTGCTCCCAAGTTGTTGAAACTAGACCGTTAATTGTGGTTTTAAACTACTCTTTATGGTCAGAACATGACAAGTCAAGTCAAGTCACCTTTATTTATATAGCACTTTTAACAATACAGATTGTGTCAAAGCAGCTTTACAGTATTAAATGTGACCTTTATTTTTCAACTTTAAAGGCAGATTTTTGCTCCCAAGTTGTTGAAACTAGACCGTTAATTGTGGTTTTAAACTACTCTTTATGGTCAGAACATGACAAGTCAAGTCAAGTCACCTTTATTTATATAGCACTTTTAACAATACAGATTGTGTCAAAGCAGCTTTACAGTATTAAATGTGACCATGGAGCACAAAACCACACATAAGGGTAAAAAAAAAAAAAAAAAAAGAGATTAATACATCATCTGAAATCTGAATAAATGAGCTTTCCATTGATGTATGGTTTGTTAGGATCGGACAATATTTGAAAATCTGGAATCTGAGGGTGCAAAAAAATCTAAATATTGAGAAAATCATCTTTAAAGTTGTTCAAATGAAGTTCTTAGCAATGCATATTACTAATCAAACATTATGTTTTGATATATTTACGGTAGGAAATGTACAAAATATCTTCATGGAACATGATCTTTACTTAATATCCTAATGATTTTTGGCATAAAAGAGAAATGTATAATTGTGACCCATACAATGTATTGTTGGCTATTGCTACAAATATCCCCCAGCGACTCAACACTGCTTTTGTGCTGCAGGGACACATATAGGAAAATAGTGTGCAATAATGCAAAAGGAAAATAGTAAACACTCAATTTTCAGTTAAATTACTTCAACAAACAACTTCACGTTCTTGAATTCTTTAAACTTTTTCAGTTACTACTCCTTAACAAAACATCTTATTAGAAAAAAATATTTTTTTAGTTTCTGCATGTTCTAACGAGTGATATTTCAAATCATGAATCAGGTTTGTGTGGCCTGAATTTGACGAGTATCTTCAGCACAGCTTGCAGTGCAGGCTGCAATATTAGTAATACTACATTTTTTCTGCTTGGTCTGATCTCTCTCTCAGACAGTGTGAGGCACACGAGAGCATTACCGTGGGGTCTCGTGTGGAGAGGAAGATGACGAAGGAAGGAGACAGATCGATGTCCTGATCTCCGAGCGTGATGAGCACTCGGCCGCCGGTCCTGCGCACCTCTCGGTTGAGCACCGGGTTCAGTATGGGGTCGTAGCTCTCCACGTCCTGACAGAGAATCAGCGACACACAGGCATTATTGAGCAAACGCCCAGACCCTGACAGATGAAGACAGAGCTGGACATTCCTACAGTAATAATGAGGCCTCGTACCTGCACCAGCAGAGGGTTGCCGAATCTCAGAGCGCTCTCCAAATTCTTCCTGAAGGCATCATCCAAAAAGCTGGTGCGGGTGATCTTTTTGTCTTTATATTCGTTCAAGATGAACTCCGTGGCCTGCCCTGATGGGTCGATGATGAGCGGATACCTGCAGAACACGACAGACACGTGAGAAATCAGCAAGAGTTAGGGCTGTCAAATAATAATTCAGATTTCACATTCGTCAAATTTAAAATAAAAATCCACATTCGAATGCAAAAAAGTTGCATTTGAATTTTAGGAGCGCGTCAAGGAAGCCGTATCAGGGGTGCACAAAATGCAATGATGTAAGAGTCGTTGCTTTTTAAATGCTTTTGTAAAGTTATTTTTATGCCTTTTTTTTATTTAGATAGGACAGTAGAGTGAGAGAGTGGAGAGCAGGACCAGCAAATGACCTCGAGACGGGAATCAAGTCTCAAACTCTCGGGAATTGAGACTTCATGGTGTTTTTGTCCCCATCGCACTGCATCTCATGTTTTTCAATGAAAAAGTGCTCTTTGTGATTGGTTTTCGTTCCTTTGTATTAAACGATGCATACATGATGCTGTTTTGTTTATAATTGTTTAAGCAACTTATTTTTGGTTTATAAACATTATGCACTTTTCACAGATAGCCATGTTATTTTATTGCTTTAATAAACATGCATTAGTAATATTTTGCTTGATGCAACCTCTTGGAGAGAAGACAAAATCGACTGAAATCATGCCTTTTAAATTTGAATGCAATTCAAATATTGATAATATTTAAGTGCAGAATTCTAATGCAGCTTTTCAGTCATTTTGACAGCCCTAGCAAGAGTCCTTCAGTAATCCACCCGTCCCGTCTCGTCCCGGCTCTCACCGGTTGAAGCGCTTCAGCATGATGGCGTTCTCGGTGCACAGGTCGTCAGCGGGCAGTGAGTTGGCCTGCCAGCGCAGCCTCTCGTCTGCATTGGACAGATACTCCGTCCTGGCGATGTCTGTGCGGAACTGGACGGGAGAAAGCGCAGGTTTCAATCGTACAGCAGGGATCTGAAGCGCTCAGTGCGCCAGCATCACATTCTCTGTACCTGAATGTTGGCCTGCTGGAGGTGATGGGACCAGGTGGTGAAGAGGTTCTGTCTCATCTGCTGGTCAAAGTAACCAGCGTAAGCGATGAAGGCGGCGGAGAGCAGACAGTCTCCGGCGATGGTGGACATCTGGTTCTTGAAGGTCTCGCTGGTCTTTTCCCATCGCTCTCTCTCAGCAGATAAACTCTTCAGCAGGGCTGTGCTGCGGTTCACCTGCACAGAGATTAGAAGACTAGTCAAGCTTAACAGACAGCTGTTCAGAGAATACTACAACTAGCCAGAAGACTAATCCACCACAGGTTTCTCTCAGGAACTTTTAAAGTCTTTGTGAACAGCGGTTTCCAGCAAAACAAGCTCTATGGTGAACATACTTCAAGAGGTTCTCGTCTTCTGTTCTTCAGAAATCACAGTCAAAGCTCAAATGTGAATTTTGATGCTGTAAACAAGCTGCTCAATTAGGATTACAAACTGAACTTAAAAAGCAGGAGCATTTGATGGTCTCTCCTGTTCTGCATTTACGTTTGTTGATTTAAAAGATGTGTTTATCCAAAAGTGACTTTCAAATGAGGAAGAAATTAAAAGAATCATTTGTTGGCTTAATTTTTGAACACCATGCCAGCTTCTTTGGCTATTTTCATGTCTAAAATCAGATTTAAGTTATTAAAAAGATAGAGTACCACTAAATAAGATCCATTTTTATGAAACTACATTTGGATTAACTTGATTAAAAACCTTTTCAATGGCATCAACAGAATAAACCACTTCCTCTAAGCAGCAGCAATATTGAAATGTGCTCATCTCAGTGTTTGTGGTCGTACCTTCGCCTCCACAGCAGCCAGATCAGCTTTGATGGCCTGCGCTTCAGAGATGAGCACGGCGTACTCCTCCTTATAGCGTGCGATGCTGTTCTCCAGATCCCGGATCATCTGCTCCACCTCCTCGGCCTTCGTCTTGTTGTCTTTAGCGTCGTCCTCCAGCTTCTGCAGCTCGTTCCTCAGCGGCTCGACCCGCTTCAGCATGTCTGCGTAATTCAGCTGAACACAGAGCCAGAGATCAGCAGCGAGTCGCCACGCTCGCGCAGAGCTTCAGCGGTCAGTGTCGTACCTGAGCGATGGCCCACTTGACCATCGGCCCGCAGGCCAGAGACGCCCGGTTCACCTGCTCGTAGTTGTAGCTGGGGTTGGACATGTAGTTCTTCTTCATCTTCTCACGGATGGAGTCACTGGGACGCAGGAACAGTGTGTTAGAATGAAGCCGACTGTGATTTCATCATGACACAGAATGAGGATGAACTGAAGTTAACATCTACACACATGATCTCGGGGATTCACTAAATCTCTGTCAGCCAAAACCCTTTGAGCTACAAGATTTTCTTGAAGTCCCCTTGTGACTTGAAGTTAATATATTTAAATCTGGGCTGTTGATTTAACATGTTTATTAGGTACAATTGATTGATTTTTTACAAGTTGTTAATATTCCGCTAAATTTGATATACTGCCACTATTGTCTGTTTTTGCTCAATTTGCAAATGAAAAGTTCACAAGAGCAGAACTGTTAAGTGTCTTCGATCAACAGACAGCGGTGTTTTTCCTTAGTGAATGAATGCGGTTTTGAACCAATCAAGTGAGTCAAAGACTCAGTGACTTGTTCATAAAGACAGTCACTTGATTCACTCCTGAATGAATCAGCTGTTTGAAGGAATCAGTTGAATGAATGACTCACTCATTAAGACAGTTGGCACTTTTGGTTTCATATTTATAGTATTCATTTCATGAATCAGTACTAAAGATACTTTTTTGTAATGTTTATTCAATGCTTTTCACATTTAACACAAATAAGTAATCTCTCTCAGCACAAACTGACGTGCGATTAATTTGCGATTAGATTAATTATATGCCACATCATGTAATCAATTAGATTAAAAACAGCCCTAATTTCAATAACTCAAGACATTCACATGTTCATAGTCAGTTAATGGTCACATGACATTTAGATTAAATATTCTGTTTAACTATTTTTAGAGTTAAATTTTGATCGTTTATTCTAACATCACATTTATGATTAATTATGTTTTCATCGACTCATGAACCCCGGTTTGGGAATCCATGCAGTGGCGTCTGAACGACACCGAGTCCGTCTCATACCTGAGAGGAAGAAGTATGAAGGATGATAATACCTCGTGTCCTCAGAGACAAAGTTGACTATGCTGGAGATGAAATTGTCTCTGACAATAACTTGTCTGATCTTTTTCCAGTCACTAGTTTCCTCCCCCAGCAGGAGGCAGATCGACTCTAGAGCCAGTTTAACGGCTGCCGGAGGGTTGGCCATAGCGCGAACCTCAACCAGATGCTGCTTCTTAATCGAGCTGACCGCTAGAGAGGGAATGGAGGTGTGTGGTTTAGGACCATGAGGACACATGGGTTCACGCGGGGGAGCAGAGCGGCTGTGGAGCCGGAAAGAGGAACCGTGTCACGTGACGAGCCAATCAGAGCTCCAGCCCATCATTCTGGGCCAGCAGTTAATTTGATCTTAAGTTTGTGTCTCGCGCAGAGACGAGGACCACGCTCGTCCTCTTTACACGCTACGCCGCCGCCGCTCCGCACCCCGCAGTCAGTCACCTGATCTCATCAGCAGAAAAGTTCACAATAGTGGGGATGAAGTTCTCGCGCATTATGATGGAGCGAATCTGCTTCCAGTCGGTGGTGCTCTCGCCCAGCAGCAGACAGATGGACTCCAGAGCCAGCTTGACTGCCGCCGGCGGGTTGGCCATCGATCGCACCTCCACTAAGTGCTGCTTCTTAATCGATTTAACAGCTAAACAAGCCACAAGCCGTGAGCAGAGGAAAGAGTGAAGACAGGAAGAGGTTAGCGCAGGGAAAAGACCACCGAACACCGCTGGCAAACACACACAAGACAGAGCTGAGAGCAGAAAGAAGGGAAGGAAATATCCACTGACGTCTCCGGCGACTGACACAGTCACAGCCGGTCACTAGGTGGCGCTTCTGGTTTTAGAGCAGATGTAAACAGTCATTCTGATTATTAGCCAAATGTTTCTCAAATATGGAGCGTAAACTCTTGACGTCAACAGCAGGTGTCATCTGGGCCCTCAAACCAGTGAATATTTCCTTAGTGGATCACAACTGACAGGAAAAAACATTTCAAACTGATACTGTATTTAATATTAAAGGTCGACCGATGTATCGGTTTTGTTGATTGACGGAACTATCGGCAAAAATCTCTCCCGATAGTTCTCCAGGTTGCGTCTGTTGCTGGAGCGGCTGAGAAGTGTCTGCTGTCATTATACAGAGCGAGAGCGGCCTCTAGAGGCGGAAATCATGGACACCTCCTGCTGTTTGTTTTGACACGTGACACTGCGCTGCACAGAGCGGGAAGTTTCAGACACGGATTTAAACGCAGCCGACAGAAATTCCTGCCGCGCCACAGAGCGCCATTCACATAGTTTTACATTAAAATTACATTAGTCCCAAATCACTGTTTAATGTACGTGATGACTTCACCCTAGGCTGTAAAATTGTGTATTGTGCATTTTACAGCAAAATGTTAAAGTCTGTATGCTTGATATAGAGAGCTGTAATATAGATCGCACTTTCTCTTTCCGTTTACTCCGTTCATTTAAACGCCAAACTTCAAACTCATCTATGCTGCTTTGTTCATTCTTGAAGTAAACTTTTTCCGGTTTGGTGATTAAATAAATGGTTTTAGACCGCCGCTTGAGTTGAACGCAAAGCATCCACTGTCTGTGTGTGTGTGTGTGTGTGTGTGTGTGTGTGTGTGTGTGTGGTACCTAGGGCTGCGACGATAAATCGATGTAGAATTGATTCGTGGATCGATTCTGAGATCTTGTGAATGCATCGTGATTCTGAGCTTATTCAATTTTAACAGCAGATGGCGCTCTACTCTAGTTTTTATCCACACACTCAAACACTCATGAAGAAGAGCTGAAGAGCGCTTGTGTGTTCGGCTGAGTCTGTAATTTCACCTCGGCTCAGAATGCTTTTATGACGCCAGATTAATTTAAACACAGCCCACTGTGAACACCTTTGTGATTCGCTTCAACCTTTATGAATTTTATGAATGATTATTTTATAGTTTTATATATAGTTTGTATTTTAGAGTAGAGCCGTTTCTAAAGCATGCAGCACCATCTGCTGTTCAAAACTAAGCTCAGAATAATTTTTTTTCTGCGACTAAGCGACTAATAAAATTTTGGTCGACTAACAGTTAGTCGACTATTAGGGGGCAGCCCTAGATAGAAGCAAATAAAGTGTGAGAGTACACATACAATATCCATATTTAATATGTAATTTCAGTGCTACGGCTTTTGTGTATTTAAAGATGGCCATGACTGCTGAAATGAAATGGTAATACTTTACTACATTTGTAACATTAAGATTAATTGTTCCTTGTTAGAGTGTGTTTATTCAAAATTTACTGTTACTAATACATTTTGAAGTTTCTTCTGATAACATTAAACTATGAATTAACTTAAATGATCAATATAAAAATGAATATTCATATTTTTATTCATTTACAAATTATGGTTCAGTAGTGTTTTTTTTTTAAATAGTAAAGAACTATTTTAGTTTTCGTTCAGTATCCATTTGAAAAACTATTGGTTGATTAATTGGTATCGGCCAGTGTGGTCCAACCTAACTATCAGTATCAGTAAAATCCGCTATCGGTCGACCTCTAGTTAATATGTGCAGATTTTTGCAACGTGAATCTGGACAAACAGCAGCACCAGCAGTGGAAGCGCAGAGGAGAGCGGAGCGAACCGTACCGTTCTGAGCCTCGATGACGGCCGGCTCCACCTGGTCCAAATCCTGCTTCACGCTCAGCTGCTTGACTTTAATCACTTCCTGCTGCTTGTAAACCGCTTCCTGTATATCCTGACTCATGACCTGTTAAGCCAAACAACACCAGTCAGGTTATTTACGAGAGCAGCGGCACAAGAGCACTGAAGCGATGTTCTGAACGACGACTCTTGCCTTCTTCTTCTCGGCCTCCTGCTGGTCTTTCACCATCTTCTTCAGCTTGTCGTTGGCAGCAGCGTTCTTGACCTCCAGCTCCTGACTCTTGATCCGCAGGTCGCGCCGCAGCTCCTCCACCTGTGACGTCACACGGTTAATAACGCTAAACGAGCTCATGCGTCTGCACGCGTGATGTCGTGTGAAGCGCGCACCTGATCGACGGTCTCTTTGATTTTGCGCAGACCCACGTTCAGATGCATCTGCTGCTCCTCCAGCTCGCTGCGCTTCTCGTTGAACAGGTTGGCGTAGTGGTTGATGAAGTCCAGGTAGTGTCGCGGGGTGATGGCCATAGTGCGGCCGCCGCGCTTCGCCAGACGGTTGTTAGCCTAACACACACACACAGAGAAATAAAGCATCACAGCATGCTCTGAAAGCAGTATGCACCTCATCAGACGGCGAGCGAGACGCTCTTCTGACCTGGTGCAGCGTCTGATGCACGAACACACAGCCGTTGATGATAGCCTCGCGGTGTGTGGGCAGCTGCGGCAGCTTGTCGTACACGGTGGGCATGTAGTCCGGCACTTTGTAGTTGGGCTTCTCCAGGTCCATCTTGCTGGTGAACTCTTTACCCACCTGTGCCCCACACACACACACACACACACACACACACACCCACACAGAGAGAGAAATAAAGCATCACAGTGTGCACTGAAACTAGAGCTGCACGATTCTGGATAAATTGAGAATCACGATTTTTTTGGTCTCAAATAGAGATCAAGATTCTCCCACGATTCTTACCTAAAAAAAAAAAAAGTGTAATTTATTAGAGGCTGTGAGAAAATAGTAATTGCTGCAATCTATTTAAAAGAGTTGAATTAATTTGCATGAATGAAAAATTGTAATTTATATATATATACATACTCGTATATATTTTACACTTTCATTAAAGTGTACTTTCATTTCATTACATTACGGAACCGGGAACACTTCCCATAACACCCGATGTACTTGCTACATCGTTAGAAGAATAGCATCTACGCTAATATTAGTCTGTTTCTCTCTTATTCCGAGGTCACCGTAGCCACCAGATCCAGTCTGTATTCAGATCAGATGGTGGATCAGCACCTAGAGAGGACCTCTACAGCCCTGAATATCAGCGGAGACCAGGACAACTAGATGAGCCCCAGAGACAGATCCCCAGTGAAGACCTGGTCTCAGACGGCCACCGGGACAAGACCACAGGAGCCAGATGAGTCCTCCGCACAATCTGACTTTGCTGCAGTCTGGAATTAAACTGCTGGTTTGTCTGGCCAGAGGAGAACGGCACACTATTTCCCTGTTTAATACTGTAAAGCTGCTTTGACACAGTCTGCACTGTAAAAGCGTTATATAAATAATGGTGACTTGACTTGAAGCGGTTTCTTACCTAAACATGCTCTAACTGGCAGCCCAAAGGCAGATTTGAATGCTCCGGTAAGACTTTTTCAAAAATTCAATAGACACTGGCGAATCGTTGTCATTTAGAAATCAGGGGCCAGTTGCATATACCACTTAGACTACTCTTAAAAAGTTAGTCATATATTTTTTTCTTTAAGGTTGGCCATAACTTTTTAAAGTCCATTATAAAAAGGGAGAATGGTCTAATTTGAATCCAAAAAGTAAGTTTTATTACCTCTTCGCAAACAACTAGTTGGTCGAATTAGTTAAGATGCCATCTTAACATAGTGGCTATGTTTATGCATCCGGCCCCAGATCGCGTGGGTGTCTGAATCGAGATTGCGATCTTTTGAAATCCAATTTTCACCAAAACCAAATTTCTTTAATGTATAGAAAAGGTATCCCCATTCTAGCCAATCAAATGCTTTCTCAGCATCTAATGATAGGACAGATATTGCGATCTTTTAACGATTAATGGTGCCGCTTTAACTGAAACCGATGTGAATCTCATCAGATGCTCTCTGACCTGGTGCAGCGTCTGATGCACGAACACGCAGCCGTTGACGATAGCCTCGCGGTGCGTGGGCAGCTGCGGCAGCTTGTCGTACACGGTGGGCATGTAGTCCGGCACTTTGTAGTTGGGCTTCTCCAGGTCCATCTTGCTGGTGAACTCTTTACCCACCTGATAGAGCGCTTCAGTGGACCAATCCCCAAACCAGTTGAGCACACACCTGAAGAGAAACACCATCAGTCCAGCATAAAAGCAACATCGGTTAGAGAAAGAGCACACAGGATTCGACATTAGCTGTGATTTTAACTGATGCACAAAATTAGAATATGACATAATAAAACTGCGAATAAAGCACTGTTTCCATCCCATGCGTTCAAAAAAAAAGAAAAAAGAAAAAAAAAAAAAAAAGAAGGTCACTTCCTGGGAACCTGGTGCAAAGCATCAATAATAAAAATTAAAGTTGCCTCAACCGGGGAAACGGTGTCTGTTTTCCTACATAAATGACTTGCACTTGATGAAAAGCAATAAACACTGTCATGTTATCTTTCGTTCGGATGCCTGAGGCAGTTATGGGAGGCGATTTGATATTTTTATGACAGACTTTGGCTCAGACATTTCAAAATTATTAAAGCATTTGAGATGGTGTGCAATGAGATCAGTGCACTGGTTAGTCCAGTTATCCAGTCTCATGATCTGCTGAGGCAAAAATCATATGACTTTTTTTGATATGCACCAAGGAATTTATTTAGTAAATGGGTTTCCATCGTAGTTTATGCATATCTTCTTACTGGATAAAACAATTATTTGACCCAAGAGCGCAAAAACTTTTCTGATGCACATTTTTAGAATTTACAAACACCATGGCATTTCCTTCCAGTGTTTTTTTTAAAGCAATATCCCAAAATTTGCATAAAAGTAGGTGGATAGTTAACAGTTCTTCATTTAAGCAGACATGTCCTGCATTCCTGTAGCTGAAACAGAAGATCACGACGCTAGCAATAGCAAGGTCATGGGTTTGATTGCCAGGGAAAGCATGAACTGATCAAATGTATGAAATGTATGGATGATAGCATGTGCCACAAACACACCTGTTGAAGAGGGCAGGTGAGGTGGCCGCTCTGTCCTTCAGCCCCTCCGATGACGGGTTCATGGTGAACACCACGTGCAGGTTCCTGATCACCTGACTGGTGAACCATTTGTACAGCTCCTCATGGGTGTCCAGCATCAAGCCCTCCTTCTGCGCTCCTTCCTTGCACTGCGTCATCAGGGTGGCGTATTCGTCGCCCTCGAACAGGCCGGGCACCTGCAACAGCAGAGAGCGGTCAGAACACACGAGGAGACGGAGAGCGAGTCTCCGTTCACGGGTCGCACCTCTCCGTTGGCCAGCAGCGTGTTCATGCGCTCCAGGAAGCCGGAGTCCAGCACGTTCGACTCGTCCATGATGAAGGCGATCTTCTCGTTCTTGCAGCCGGAGCGGCGGAGCACTGTCCGCAGGTCTTCGTCAAAGTCCTCGCCGGTGTATTTCCTGTGGACCTGTGAGGATACGATCGAGTTACAAAAGCCTCAAACAAAACTTGACAGACAATCAAATGTTTGCTTGCTCTAACCTTGATCTGATAGACAGTCAGTCCGTTCATCCAGGCCACGAAGCGGGAGAGCGTGGTCTTTCCAGCACCGCTGACGCCGATCAGGAGCAGGTGACCCTGCGGCTGACGGAAGATTCTGGAGGGAGAACATCAGCGTGACGTTACTGAAGCGTCAGCGGGGTGAAATAACAAACCGCTGTGTTTCTTCAGGCTCTCTGTACCTGTCGATCCTCAGCACGTGATCCAGAACCTCATTGAAGAGCACCAGAGGAACGTCCAGCTCCTCCTCGTAGAACACCTTCAGTCTGGCCTTCACATAGTCCCGCAGCTCCTCCTGCTCCACGGGAATGTAGTCCTGCAGGAGAACAGCAGAAGCGGTCAGTCGTATCGGAGTCTGCAGTGATGTCCAGAAGAGTTCAGCTCGGTCACTCACCTTGGAGAGCCAGTTGCTGTACAGGATGGGTCTGTTAAGGGCTTTGTCACGGTCGATGTTAGGAAAGTGTTTGAGGGCGACCATGTTTATGTTCTCATCTGTCCAGCGTCTCTCCTCATCCTCCACCAATCTGCCGGGAGAATCAGTTCAATCCGTGTGCAATGTCACAAGAACGAACACATACTTATAGGTTTGCTGCTGATGCACATTTTGGTACGCTCTGAAATGCAACATTGTTCCAAAACAGGAACCAAAATTGCAACAGTGATCTACAGGTCTGAAAAGAGCCTTAAAGGGATAGTTCACCCCAAATTGAAAATTACGCCATGATTTACTCACCCTCAAGGCATCCTAGGTGTGTATGACTTTCTTCTTTCAAATGAATCCAGTCGGAGTTATATAAAAAATGTCCTGGCTTTCCGAGCTTTATAATTACAGTGGGTGGATTTTTTATTTTTTTTTAATAGTCCAAAAGAAGTCCAATAAAGCGCATCCATCCATAATAAAAAGTGCCAAAGTTTCTGTACTTTAGCAAAGGCAAACCAGTCTCCTCTTGGCTTGTATCGAAATCCTCATTTTCTTTACAAATCCTCGTTTCGTACTTCTAATTCGTGACTGGCGTTTTGTTTTGCTCTCTCCGCTGCGCTTCCTCGTTCATCACGAATCAGCTGACGCTACGCCGACATCCTACATCATCTGCCGGAATGGTGTTCCATTGTGAATGCGCGTACGAGTTAGCATCAGTTCAATCCGTGTGCAATGTCACAAGAACGAACACATACTTATAGGTTTGCTGCTGATGCACATTTTGGTACGCTCTGAAATGCAACATTGTTCCAAAACAGGAACCAAAATTGCAACAGTGATCTACAGGTCTGAAAAGAGCCTTAAAGGGATAGTTCACCCCAAATTGAAAATTACGCCATGATTTACTCACCCTCAAGGCATCCTAGGTGTGTATGACTTTCTTCTTTCAAATGAATCCAGTCGGAGTTATATAAAAAATGTCCTGGCTTTCCGAGCTTTATAATTACAGTGGGTGGATTTTTTATTTTTTTTTAATAGTCCAAAAGAAGTCCAATAAAGCGCATCCATCCATAATAAAAAGTGCCAAAGTTTCTGTACTTTAGCAAAGGCAAACCAGTCTCCTCTTGGCTTGTATCGAAATCCTCATTTTCTTTACAAATCCTCGTTTCGTACTTCTAATTCGTGACTGGCGTTTTGTTTTGCTCTCTCCGCTGCGCTTCCGCGTTCATCACGAATCACTGGAGCTGATGCTACGCCGACATCCTACATCATCTGCCGGAATGGTGTTCCATTGTGAATGCGCGTACGAGTTAGCGGAGGCTAGAGATTACCGTTTATAATGTTTTAAATATGGATATTTTTCTTACAAAAATTCATGGATTCGCTACAGGAGGCCTTTATTCACCCCCTGGAGCCATGTGAGGCACTTTTTGTTATGGATGGATGCACTTTATTGGACTTCTTTTGGAATATTGAAAAATAACACCCATTCACCGCCACTGTAAAGCTTGGAAGAGCCAGGACGTTTTTAAATATAACTCCCGATTGTATTCATCTGTAAGAAGAAAGTCATATACACCTAGGACGGCTTAAGGATGAGAAAATCATTGGGTAATTTTCATTTTTGGGTGAGCAATCCCTTTAAGCTCACCGGTCCTGGAAGAGTCGCAGTGCTTCGTGAGCCCAGATGCGAATCAGACCCTCCACAGGCAGCGTCTCCAGCGGCCGCAGCGCCTCAAAGATGCCTCGGACCCAGCGGGTCATCTCTCTCGGGGAGTAGATGTAGTGCGGCTGCGTGTCCTGAGTGAACCGCTCCTGCTCAAACACAAAGCAGTCGAGATAAACTTTTCATCAGCTCAGGAGACGAACCCATGAGCGTTCAGCGGTTTAAATGCAAACCTGAGACATAGTGTAGAACTCGACCATGGCCGCCGTGAGCGGCTCAGCAAAGGTCCGCAGCGACGGGATGAGTCTGAGCATGGCTCTGTTGAAGGTGCCGTAGATCTGCGTGAGCGAGGCGGGGCCGGGATAGTCCACATACACCACTGGCACGTGACGCAAAAACCTGTAAACGCTCACACGAGTTAGGCCAGGACATCACTGGACACTAGGGCTGGGCCACATGCCAAAAAAATTACACCTTGGTTTCTACGATTTGAACTTGAAAATTTAAGTACAACACGATTCAAGTAACTTTTTCTTCATTAACCCTCTAGTTAAAGAAAATTCTATTCCAAGTGCAGTGAAGTCAAGGAAATTCAAATTTAAAATGACTGAAGTTATAACACCAGTAGAATATTAACTATAAATGTTCTGTAAAAAAAATGAACAGCAGCTTTCATCATGATACAAACATGAAATATCAGACATACAGTGCTGCCCACTAATATTGGCACCCTTGGTAAATATGAGCAAAAGGGGGGGGGGGGGGGAACTCACATTACGAAATAGATGTTTTTCTCCAATGCACGTTAGCTACCACAAAAATACTAAGCAAGAAAATCATGTTTTGCAGTGTTCGAATTAATGAATAAAATTGGAAAAAATTGCCCAACCCTACTGAACACGTCTACTGAACACATGTATTTATTAGCGGTGATGACGACAGCCGAACCTGTACGAGAGCGGCTTCCTGCCGGGGTCTGTGGGAGGGTTACAGGCCCCGACGAACTGGATCCGCTCCAGCTTCACCCAGGTCTGGTCTGAGGTGCGGTAGAAGCCGCCGTGCTCCACCATCTGAACACAACACAGCACGGGTTACACCGCAGACAGACACACAGCAGGAGCCGGACTCAGCGAGATGCTCGCACACGCACCTGTCTGATGAAGGAGATGACCCGTTGCGTGCCGTACTTGTCCATGTCGGGCAGGTTGATCTCGTCGCAGAAGAGCACCAGCCACTTACCCAGCTGCACCGGAGCCAGAACCACGCCGTTAGGAGTCCTGCGGTACTCGCAGTAATGATCGAAGGTCTTCAGCAGCAGCTCCGGAGTCGTAGCGCTGGAGAAGTTCAAACCCACCACCTGGAGAAAACACATTTCACAAGTGACCAAGCAGTCGACCCAGCATCACATCACAGAACACAGCGGTGCCAGTGGATCTGCTTTAGGAACACTGCATTGGTTCATCTGTAGGGCCCTATGAGTTCCACGATGTCGAAACACCGAATCCAATCATAAAAACAGAAATTACTGTATAGTGTCACAGAATTTGCCAAATTTTGGATGGATACAGCAATAGTAGATCGGTACACTTTAATCAAAACACAATATGGACTAGTGTCTGTGAATATTAAGCCGCATTTAAATATGAATCCTGTGTGTTCTGCGTGTCTCGGAGGTTTCGTTTACTTCACTTTACTGCCGCCTCAATATATGAACACACGAACATGATCTCTAGAACTGCTCTGAGAGTCGCTTCATGAGCATTTCACCGTTTCTTTTGAGCAAAACTATCGTTATATCATAAACAAACAGAAACCTAAAGGTCTTCACAGCAACCCGTCAAAATAAAAGTTTGGTTTAACTTGAAGAAACCGTGACAGAAATATTACTTAATGTAATGATAGTACTGCTACTAATAATAAAATTAAAACATTATTTTGGAAGGAACATTTAGCAGAATAAATATTTACCAGAAAAATGTAAATGAATAGTATTTCTGAAATATATTTTTTTTATAAAATAAATTAATTAGAGATACTCTTTTGATAACTAATATTTAATGAAACTATTCAAATGGAATCCAGAAAATTTATGGAAAACAGAATTTAAAATAGACAATAAAACTGAATATTTCATATCACCCTGAAAACTAAATTTCTGTTAAACTTTTAATAAATTGCTGTTTAATATTTTAAGTTTCACGATTTCAAATAATTAGACATGCTTTTTGATGAATACAACTTAAATTTAACCATTAAAACAGTCTAGAAAATAGAAAAAAACGGAATCCAGATAAAATGTAAAATGGAATTTAGAAACAAAATAAAACAATGTGAATAAACTCAGACGGATTTCATAGGGCCCTACATCTGTAAGAAGAGATTCTGGATTTCTGAACGTAATCCGCTCCTCACCTCCATGTCCGGCAGGGCTCTCAGGGCACTGAACAGGGTCATGGTTTTCCCGGAGCCCGGCGGCCCACAGAGCACCAGAGGCTTGTGTTCGGCCAGCCAGGTGTAGAGCAGAGCCTCGTGACGCACCGTGTCCAGAGTGGGCACCACCACGTCCGGCGAGGCCACCTTGTGCGTCTCCACCTCGATCTGAGGCACCTTCACCTGCCAGGACTGCCACTCGCCCGTGATGGACACCTGACGGATTCAGAGCAGCGTTAGAGTCACACTCAAACATCACACTCCATCTGAGACTGCGTCTGCTCGCACCTCGTAGTCGATGATCGGCACGTTCGGCGCGGACGGGAGAGACACGGTGGTGATGCGGCGAATGTATTCTCCCAGCTCCGCTCGCATCTTCAGCCTGCTGTCACCCGAGAAGGACCACAGCACCGCGTAGATGAGGTATTTCTGCACGACAAAGTTTAAAGGTTAGCACCTGTTTGTCATATCTGACCCTGGAGCACAAAACCAGTCTTATTTGTAGCAATAGCCAACAATACATTGTATGGGTCACAATTATACATTTCTCTTTTATGCCAAAAATCATTAGGATATTAAGTAAAGATCATGTTCCATGAAGATATTTTATAAATGTCCTACCGTAAATATATCAAAACTTAATGTTTGATTAGTAATATGCATTGCTAAGAACTTCATTTGAACAACTTTAAAGATGATTTTCTCAATATTTAGATTTTTTTGCTCCCTCAGATTCCAGATTTTCAAATATTGTCCGATCCTAACAAACCATACATCAATGGAAAGATTATTATTCAGCTTCAGATGATGCATACATCCCAATTTAACAAAATTGACCCTTATGACTGGTTTTGTGTTCCAGTCACATTTAATCTCTGATTCTGAACTGAGCTGGACGATGACATCATCAATGATGAACTGACTTTAACTGATAAATTAGTTTATTATTGTCCTTTTGTATTATTACACATTATTTTTCCTATTTAATACTGTAAAGCTGCTTTGACAAAATCTGTATTGCTGAAAGCGCTACACTGCAACTACATTGATTCCTAGTATTTCTGTCTGGTTTTCTAGTATTAATATCTAAACATTCTTCAATCAGGAAGCATTTACTTGACAAGTAACATGACTTAAGATATTATGTCTTGTTTTCTGTAAAAATTATAAATTGTTAGTTTTAGCTTAAAACAAACAAAAATATCTAGCAGTGGGGTAAGAAAAATAATTGTTTAGCCTTTTAATAATTTTTCTTACCCCACTGGCAGATATTTTTGTTTGTTTTAAGCTAAAACTAACAATTTATAATTTTTACAGAAAACAAGACATAATATCTTCAGTCATGTTACTGGTCAAGTAAATGCTTCCTGATTGAAGAATGTTTAGATATTAATACTAGAAAACCAGACAGAAATACTAAGTAAGAGAATCAGTTTTTGCAGTGCATATAAATAAAGCTGACTTGACTCGTCCAGGCGTGCCGCACCTGCATGTATTTCTCCAGCTGGTCGATGGGCATGGGGAAATCATGGTGGTTGTTGTTGTAGAGGGCCACGTTGCGGCAGGCCTGATGCAGCATGGAGAAGAGCGAACTCAGCGAGCGCAGACGCGTGAAGTCCATGATGTGCTCCATCTTTGACGCGTGTTCCAGAGCTTTGATCACCAGACCAGTGGAGGTGAAATACGGCTGGAGAACTGCAGCAGCGTCTCTCTGGATCTGTGGATTAAACACAAGAGGCTCTAAAAACTGACAAATACAAGCATGAAGGACAAACTGAGTGATAGCAGAGAAGGACGCAAGATAAACGTCATGCAGAACGGGATTATTAGTTATCAGGGCCGTGCTGGAAAACTCAGATTCTCAGGAAGGATCAGATTCTAGATCCTTATTTCAATGTTTATAATTTAACCATACAAAGATACTGTATCATATTTGAAAAATTTCTAAGGCCTCTAAATTATCGAACTCTGCTCTTTTAGTGTAATTGTAGAAATGTCCAGCTTCAGCTGGAGCTTCTCGTGTCAGATCTGAACTGATTTTGATCAAGTAAAGGTCAGAATAACTGCAGTAATATCTCCAGATGAACACTTACTGCACTGAAGCAGCTCAGCTTTACTTGATTCTCCATCAATCATGTTTTAGAGTCTCAAATCTGATCCTCAGGATCTTTTGAGGAGCGTTTGTTTCCAGAAGCTTTACTTTCACTGTTCCTCAGCGGAGGAATGATCTTCACAAGCCTCCAGAACATCTCACATCTTCTGAGGAGCCTTTATTTCTTCAGCTCTCAATCACTGCATTATATGTTTGGAGCATTTCACTCTCATCT